TGTCAAATTTTATAGAAAGTAACATCATTACTGTTACTACATTGTAAACAAAATAAAATTATTGTTTGTTGGATTTTGAGTGGTTTCATTGGCACATAAGGGGCTACACGTTATCTCAATGTTTGGAATTTCACGACCCTATAGGTTCTCTTTTCTTAAAGTGCAAATAACGAGTTATTTGTAACATAGTCCGCTTAGTGGAAAACCGGCATAACCCTACAATTGAGTATAGCAAAGTTCCTGGAGGAAATAATACCATAATATGATTCGAATTGGGCTTAGATTAAAGCCGAGTAAAGTGGGCGAATGGTTAATGTTGATATGCATGATGAATGCTAAAGCTGAACTAAAGAATGTAATTATTATTCGATACAGTTCATCAGGAGATTTGATAGAGATGTTGAAAATGTACAAATGCTTAATAAAAAACCAGGAGAAGCTTTTGATTTCAATTCATCTGGAAAATTATACTCAGACCTCCCACAATAGCCAGGACATGCAATAATTTATAAAGCATAGGTCACGTGAGATATTTAGAAAGCTCACTTACTCCAAATATCAGTGACAAGTTTAGTGATTGTCTACACAGTCCCCGACACAGTCTATTTACTCTATTTGGAAAATCGCTTTTTCTCTCCTGAAGATCTAATTTGAAATGCAGTACCCGGCCGCGTACAGCCAAACCCCTGTGTAATACAGAACGCGCGGTCCAGAAGATGGTCTGTATTACTCATGGCCTTGTTTTTGTTTACGCTGTGTCGCCTCGAATGAATACCAGTGTGATACAGAGCAACCTCTTATTTCTTGACTATTGAATAGAATCTCTCGTATTATTTCCTACCCCGATCGAGTTATGTGTTGACACTATTATCAATATATAGTATTATGTGCATCTATTAACCTGTATTCCTGCCTGAGAGCAAATGCTGCCGGAAATATCTTTTAACAAATTATTAACAAATTGAAAAAAAAACGTAACACTACCCCCATCGAGTTATGCCCAGGGGCCTTATTCTGTAAGAAACGAACCGTTCGATTCGGTAGAATTTTTTCGATTGTGACGTCATTTTCGGTTTGGTTTTCGCGCTACCAAACCGAAAATGACGTCACAATCGAAAAAATTCTACCGAATCGAACGGTTCGTTTCTTACAGAATAAGGCCCCTGAGTAGGGTATCAGATTGAAGGTCTCGATGTCCCCTATCTAAAAAGTCGATCCTGCATCGTGAGAACTTGCCGGAAAAGGGTGGCAGGACAGCTTATTGGGGCAAGGGCCCGCGGTCTCTCCTTTGACACCTTAATTAATAGTATATTATAAATATAAATAGATATTTATCGGATATAGTCGGATTTTTTGATGAGCGTAATGATATCATTTTCTGTTATCTCTATTTCATGTTATGTTTAAACCACGAACCACCACAATATATTTACTTGTATTTGCTGCATCATTGTCAATACTTTACAGTATGATAATAATTGTCGATGAGAAAGTAATATAAGTTCATACCAAATAAACTTGTTGTTGTGACATCGATGACTCCATTTTTAAAATCGTTATCGCCAACTGTGAAAATATTCGGCGTCGGATTGACTTAATTGGAATTTGAATTTCCCGCTGGCCATTCAGTTGGTAACACCACTTCAAAAACTGTAACGTTGCCAAATTAAATTCTTGACATTTTGATTGCATTTTGGCAGTTTACGAGTTTTTGGTTTGTGCTATTAATTGTGACCTTGTTTTTTTAAATAAGCTTGTATTGCGAAGTGTACAAGATGCCGAAGCAGCTTAACAGCCGTTGCAAAGACTAATCGCATCCTTTTTACAATATTTCGAACGAGAACGCGATAATAATGGCCCTTTATGTCCCTTAAATGCTGTTAGGAAGGTGAGTTTACAAGTCGTTGATGTCGTGTGACCAAATACGAATTATTAATTTGAACTTTCTCTCATTTTTAGCGCGTAGCAGAGGCTTTTAACTTAAGTATGTCCACTGTCTGTGCTATTTCGAAGGCAGTCAAAAATAACGAAGATTTGGAATCGTTTTCTAAGAAACGATGCACTTCGAATAAGAGAGGCTGTGATGTTTCGAAGCTCGATAGCACTGCTATACATAACACTATTTACGATATGTGTATAAAAAGTAAATCGTTTGAGACAAAGGTACAGGGTGATCCAGTATAAAGTGAACACCCCCTACCTTTTCGCTAAAAATTTTTTTATGTGCATATAGATATCTATGAATCGCCTTCTTTCTTCTTGTAGAATAACATGTAACATTATCCTGTATATGGGAGCAATTGAAAGACAAACAATTATTTGATGGCAGTCGCATGCCATTGAGTAGAATGGAAAAAAGATGACCCAAGACGAGGGCTCATGGAACTTCCCTGATATTGCTGTTAAACGCATATCATTTTTAAGGTCTTATCTAAGACTGAAACAGGAGGCTTTGTACCAGTTTGTTTCCTTGAACGAGACTTGGATTTTTCCAAAATGGTACTAGGTATTAACCGTGGGAAGACAACAACAAGCGAAGTGTTAAAACTACCAAAGTTGATGGTAAAAGGTTAATATAAACATGAAAACAGAGAGCAGTTGTATTATATGTACAAAGAAATGCTTTTTCTAGATATATCATACCTACTTCATGCTGGCACTGAAAATGGATTCATTGAAGGTACATCGCTTGTATTTTCATCGAAAACTCAACTTAACGACTATCATGAAGAATAGCATACATTCTTCCACTTATCAATATTGATGAAGACTTCAGCGATTTCAGTGATCCAGAATAATTGAAAATATTCTTGATGGTTCAAATATTCATAATATTTAATAAGATATTTTTAGTATTTAGAGTGGCTGTAAATAAAATAGGTACTGAGCGTTATTATTATATTTTATGTGATGATTGACAAATGAGTTGTTATTAAATATCTATTAAACCAAGCTTTGAAGCAATGTTTACAATTTAAGTAATAAATGTTTGCATTATATTATAATACAATCCATTATTGTTTCTGAAAATATTTTGACCAAAGGAAAATATGGAAGAGACGGCAACGCTGTGCCGGCTGAGCTTGACAACCCGACTATAAGTTTATTTGGTATGAACTATATGTTTTTAGAGTCAAATAAGCGCTCATTGAAAAATTCGACCATATAGCAACTCCTCTTCTGCGTAAAACGTGTGAAATGGGCATGCGAGCTCCGTATAAAGTGGAGTTCATGCAGATGCAAATCACGAATTGCGAATTGCGGAGGCCGCTCCTATTGGTCAGTCCACTGTCAAGAAAAGGGACATCTGTCAGTGTTCTATAATTTGGGAATTCGCAAAATTTGAAATTTAGGAGGCGGGAAAATTGGAATTGGTTTAATATTTTGCGATATTCGTTGCGGATTTTATGTCAGCGCATGCGTATTTCAAAAATACTGTTGTCATCTGCTCCTTCGGTTGTTTTGTTTACATTTTGCCTTTGGCCATTTCATTTGGGATTCTTTACTTTTGTCTAGTCTCTATAATTCTTCTCGTTTGGTTTTTTGTGATTTGCTGTGTGTTTTCTTTATTGTTTATTGCAATATTTTCCACAGTAATTTTATCTATTATTTTTTTCTCAGTCTCATTTATTGGACTAAATTATGATATTATGCTCCTTGCTATTCCATTTAGGCACCTACATTTCTTTCTTGCGAATTGCAACAAACAATAAGAAACAACAAAAACAATTATTTAAGGTTATAACCAAAGAAAACATGTAAATATTAGTTTCAACACTCCAGTGTGGCACCGAAAAATAAAGTAAATATTCCTAGAATGATTGCGAAGTTCGCATCTATATGAAAGGGCTGAAAAACGCCGATTTTTTTTCAACGAAATTCGGATTCGCAATTCGTGATTCGCATCTATATGAACTACGCTTAACACTGGGATTTGTCTTATGCAACGCACCATAATCATAAACAAAACCCCGAGTGATTCAGACCATCTTGTGGACCGCGCGCTCTGTATACAGCGGTTTGCCTTGACGCGATTCGGCCTCCACTTTTGATGCCATCGCTTGACATAAATTTTTGAAGTGGTGCAAACGAAATATTTTTACGTGGATCTTCAGCAGCGGATGCACATTCATTAACACATTGACTGCCAAGGCCAAATCCTGAATTATTCGCTGGGGGCCAAAGTTGTATTTTCGTATTTTTTGGCTTTTCTTTTATTTTACAGTGAAAATTTACTTATAATTCTGTTTGGTTTTTATTTTTTTGGCTTTTTTGCATTTTTTGTTGTGTCATTCATAAATGAATGACGCGGCCCCCTGGAAAACTTTGACGAAATTTTATCGCACCGGCCACGTCATTCATATGCGAATGAGACAACAAAAAATGCAAAAAAGCCAAAAAAATTAAAACCAAACAAAATTATAAGTAAATTGTCATTGTAAAATAAAAGAAAAGCCAAAAAATACGGAAATACAACTTTTAGCCCCCAGCGAATAATTCATGATTTGGCCTGTTCCTTTTGTAAATTATAAGTTCATATTTCATCATATACACATAATACATCATATATCAGGAAGAATTAGTTTTTTTTTTTGTGTTTGACAGTTTTTTACTTAAAATTATACCTATTTTAAGTAAATTTTTGGTTTCATTGGTCTTGGACAATAACCCAACAAAATTTGCTCTGGCCAAGTTTACCTTGAGAATCCCCAGGGGCCACGCAAATATATCTCCACTTAAAATACACAGGCTGTCATACCTAAATGCATGACATGGCCTAGAAGTGAAACTGAACCGTCATACAAATATAAATGACGCGGCCGGAACGGAAGTGGCCGTGTCATTCATAAATGTATGACGTGGCAGTCAATGTGTTTTAAAAGAATTAACAGATCCCAAAGTTTTCGCAATAACTTGGTATTGATGCAATGTCAGTTTTATGCAGTTTTTAGGTTTATACCTGTATGAGTAGCCTGGCAAGCCTTTAAGTTAATACTGACCTTATCCAATTTGGCAGAACTTTCAGCTGAAGCAAAAGTACAGACATTTTGATAACTTGAGGGTGTTTTTGTTATGGTTGAGCAAATTTGAATTTTCGCATTTCTTGTTGGGCTACGCACTAAAATGAATTTTTTTTGCAGATAGAATCATCGAGAATAGGAAGCAGTTCTTACTTTCAATTTTACCATATGCATAAGGGGCATGGGTAGAACCATTGGCACTTTTAGCTCGATGAATTTTTGCAGACGACCGCGTAGAACTTCTACATGGGCATGTTCTTCGAGGTGAGTAGCTTATAAAATGATTTAAAATTAACAGTAGGTGAATTAAGTTATAGAGAAATCTACCTGGATTGTGAAACTTCATGATCAGAGGATTTTGTTGCGGATTTCATCGTTTTATTTTGAGGACAGTTTCTTTTTCCTTGCGTGGTGGTGTAAATTAATTGTGTCCTTTCCGCCAGCAGCAGATTTTTTTATCATCATTAAATCCTGGGTTTCCTGGTATTAAACAAATAATGTTTCGATAAATTGGGTTTACTGATTGTGGTGAAATCACTTGAAATTTTGAAATTTTACAATGCTAACAATTTAGTCTCATTTAAAAAAAAAAATTGTAATTAAATAAACATAAATACTGACAAAAAAACTATCACAAAGACAGTGACAGCTAGTTCGTTTCATGCAGTAAAAAGCAGCGTTTTCCTAGCAACGCACATTTTACGCGGCGTGGAACGTAATACGGCCGACGCAGCGCAACATCCAATGCGCTGCGTGATATGATAGCCACGATTCATGATAGGACTGAAAATTCTGCTAGTCAATTAAGTAGAACCGAAGGAGCATTTAAAATACTTATCCATAGACATCTGCTGGAAAAAAAAGTAAAATTTGAAGCATATTTTAGAGTTACAAGGCAGCAATTCTCATTCCTCCTCGATCTTATGAGAAAAGATTCAAGTAAGGAACCATGTAATCGTGTGCGACATCTTATTTCGCCACTTGAAAAACTTGGCCTAGCATTGAGGTATATAAATATAATGCAAGAGGAGCACTTTCTTTGCCAACACGCAGCGTACAACTGAATAGACTGCTCTCCGAGCAATCGTTCAGTTGCGTCGACCGTATAATGCTAGCGTAAGTCGTTTTTACGCAGTATAGGAAAACGCCTTCATTTGATGTTCATTACACATGTCTTTAGAGCAGGTAAAGGTAAAGGAGTAGTAACATGGAGTTGGAAAATGGAGCCGTTATTTTCCAGGTATTTTGGCACCAAAAAATGGCGGTGTAGGCAATTTCAATGCTTTACCTCTTTCTTTATGTCCGTAGGACAGCGCTCTACCTGCTCTAAGCTTTACCTCTATTTGGTTCCAAACACCTGCCAAAAACTTGGCTTCACTTTAGTTTCATAGCAGAATAGCGCGTTCCTACTCCTTATGTCCGTAGAACCTGCTCTAAAGGCCTAATTTCCTCGAACAACACGCTGCTTAATAACGCCAATCCAATCATGTTTGATCATGTTTATGGCATTGGACGATAGTTTTGTGAAGGGCGAACAAAGCTGCTGGGTTCTTTTCTTCAGGATTTGCTTCTTTTATTTTTATTGTTGTCCTCCTAAGGTTCTTGGTTGAAATAATTTTTCTTCCCAAATTCCATGTTTGTTTAGGTTTGCAACAAACAAGTACACGTATTTCCAGAATTATGCCTATAAAATATAGAAAGTCCACAGTGATCGTTATCTTCGTGTTGCTCGCTAATAAATAATTCTTCCACAGTAAACCTTGAGACAGATTGTTTTGGAGGTTTTATGGTGGCTTTTGGTGTAGTGGACATCCGTGCTGGTTGCGGAATAGTGCGGTTTGGATTACTTTACCAGACGTTAAATTGTGGTGAAGGAGTCTGGAATCGTGCAAGCGTTAAGGCCCCCACAGACAGACGCTCAGTTATTTTGCACAGGACGACTGTGCAGGCCAATTTGCGCAAATTATTCTGTACCTATGCCTCTTGCACAAACGCTCAGTTTTTAGCACAGTTCTTTCCACCAGGGTGCGTTTTCACTCGCATGCAATTTGCGCAAATTGATTTGTGCATGCATGATTTGCACAAATTGCATGAGCGTGAGAACCAAAATCATTTGCTTGCGTAAGCCAAAAAGTTTGGCTCGAGAAATCTGGAGCGGTCAGATAATTTGCATGTGGTTGGTGCAAACGCATTAATGTGTAAATGACACTCCAGATTTATAAAGCAAGCTCGTTTAATATATCAAAAAAGGAAAAGGAATTTATGGTAGTAAATAAATTCATTAAAGTATATAAATCATTTCCTAATTGTCTTTGGAAAGTGAAATCCAAAGAGTACAGCGAAAAAAACGCAAAATTCCAAGCCTATGAAATTCTTATTGAAAAAATGCAGACCGTGGATAAAAGTGCAAACAGGGAAACCGTGGTAAAGAAAATAAATTATATGGAAACCACCCATTATTAAAAAAAGTTCTTGATTCCGAGAGATCTGGTGCCGGGGAAAATTAAATATATATATGTCCGTACGTGTAGGACTACTGTCTAGAGGTGACTGGTGGTGGAAAAATTTGTGCAATTTAAACTGAGTGCACGGTCTACACGCAACGATGTATCGTTCGATTTGCATGCGCAAATAAATCCTTCAGATAAATCGTTACTAACTCAGTACGTCCATATTGTAATGACTTAATTATAGAAATCTCAAATTTTCCTCTAGTAGCTCTAGTAAGATTGTATAAAATAATCATGGAGGAAGTGTTATTGTGGAGTATTTTATTTAAATGTTGAAAGAAAAAGAAATTGGGAAACGTTTGAATAAAACTACACGTTCTAGGTGGTCTAGAGCATGCTTATTGAAAAAAAGTTTATTTTCTCTTGTACGGTTACTTGAAGAAGGTAAACCCGAAGCGAAGACTGGCAAAATTATTTAAGAATGGATACGGAAACATACAATTATTTATTCGGATTAGTGAGTCCTCATATTGAAAAGCAAAATACCTGTATGAGAAAAGCACTTTCGCCTCATGAAATACTAACAGCGACATTGAGAAATTGAGCAACTGGCAGAAATTTTAAAGTAGAGTTCACAACAGCGAAATCTAAGCAAGCGTGTGTACTTATTCCAGAAACTTGTAAAATCATACACCAAGTCCTGAAAAAGGAATATATTTCATACGCTTGCCTCTCCTTGTCCCGATCGCTATATTCTTTTGATTTTATATGCCACAGGCCTGGAAAACTTTCGTAAATGTCAATAAATTCCATTGGAAAATTATGCGAAATAGTCGACATATATTTTAACAATTTCGAAATAAAAATTTGAAAGTTGGTTTGGTTTTCTAATTAATAACTGCCGGACTAGAAGCGTTGGTTCTCGGTTGTATACAATTTATTGCCGCTAAGGACTGTGTAATAGTCCGACAAGCGTACATACACACGTTACCTACGACTTACATGCGCAAATCTCCCAAATCAATGCTTTCCGGCTCAAACTTCCAACTCCGACCTCCGACTTTGCACAGTTCTAAAATTTGCTCAAATCTGTCATCCACACACTACGATTTGTCTGTAACGATTTACTTGCGCATGCAAATCGTACGATACATCGTTGCATGTAGACCGTGCCCAAAGCACGGTCACACTCAGCTACATCCAAACCAACACCGGCTCAAAGCTCTTCTCCTCCAAGAGACACAGCAGCCTTGTTTAAAACAACATCCCCAATGTAAATTACAAACAACAAACAACAACACAACTACTATACTATTTCCAGTATTATTTCACACTAGTGAAATTTGATTTCACATTTTTGAAAATGAATTGCAGACTGACCCTAATTAATACATATCTCAAACAATTATTAAAGTCTGTTTTTTTTTAAAGATAATTCCCCAAGTCAAAAATTTAGTAACTATGTTGGCAACACAAGCCTTTTCTACATAAAAAAATTGAAAGGATTGACAATTTTACATTGTATTGCCAACACAATGTCATTTTGACTTTTATCTTTAAAAAAAAACAGATTTTAGTTTAATTTGAAAAAACATCAACAAATGTTATCTATTTCACCTTAATGAAATAAACCCACTGAGTTCACATAACATAAAATACAATCATGAAACCACAATAATAATTATTAATTATTTAAATAAATTGAACTTCAGTTGAGTCTTCTCACTCTTGAGATAGCTGCATACCTTTCCACTTGATTTTCCAAGCTGAAGTTTAATTTATTTGAATAATTCATAATTATTATTGTTGTTTCATGGTTGTATTTTATGTTATCTAAACTTAGTAGGTTTATTTCATTAGGTTGAAATAAACAACGTTCTTGATGTTTTTCCAAATTGAAATAATACCTACATGTTTGAAAAATGAGTATTTATTAGGTAGGGTCAGTTTGAAATTCATTTTCAAAAATGTGAAATCAAATTTCGTTTGTGAGAAATTAGTTTTCGTTACTTTGAAATCAATTTTCATTTGAGCGAAATTAGATTTCACTGATATGAATTTAGTTTTCATTAATTTGAAATCAAATTTCACTGGTCTGAAATAATACTGGAAATGGTATATTATACCAACTAAGCAGACAAATTCTACCAACATTCTGAGCAAGAAATCTCAATTAAACTGGACAAGCTGGCGGCGATGATTAATAATCATCCCACCCTCGAACTTTTGACCTAACTTAACATGACCTAATGGGTGACACACCTAAACCAACAAGGCTATATATATTGTCCGTCGATTTTAATCTGATACTCGGACGGAATATTAGCTGGTGGCTCCCTACATTAGAACTCCAATGGTTACCTGATGTCACACCTGTTTTTGCCATATGAAACACCCCCTCGCTCCTCATACGGGAAGTGTCAGTTAAAAATCGACGAACAATACATAATCTCTTGGAATGCAAACTCTATCTTTCCCAAAAGATACGAGTTTGCATCCTTTTCACACGAGGATATTGTTGACGGAGCATTAGTCCAGGAGACTATGCTCAGACTACACACAATTTACAACGTACAAAACTACACTATATATAGAAATGACAGACCTAACCGTGCTGGTAGTGGTACTGCAATTTTAATTAAAAACAAAATTCCTTATGACACTATTGCCATCAATCCTGCATCTGACCATGTGGAATACACTGGTGTGGTAGTCCACCTTGCAGGCGGCCCTCTAAACTTATTCATTGTTTATAATCCTCCTTCTAAACGCTTAAACCATGATGATATAAACCTTTTCTTCGGTTCTGATACTCCAACTATAGCTGCAGGCATTTCAATTGCATAAATAAAGCCTGGGGGTGCCGCATTAATAACACAGCGGGCATTCTTCTAATTCAATTCACCCAGGACAACCTTATTTCAGTTCATGCTCCCTTAGAGCCAACTCACTTTCATTATATTACCCCTGATATTCTAGACCTTGCTCTATCCAAAAATGTCCCCCATAAGATTTGTATTGGCAATATTAACGATCTCAACTCCGACCGCAATCCAATTAGTCTCAAAGTTGGTGATCAGGGGGCGGATTACGAATTCTCGATTCGAACCGAAACCGCCATGTTACACCGAA